TTTTTCTCCAATGCCTGCACTGTGCTGGCCACTTCCTGCTCCTCACAGGACATCTGCTCACCGCAGCACAGCCGGGCTGGCCTCACACCAGCCTCCGCGCAGACATCTGGGCCCTCCTCCGGTGCTGCTGGTGCCCCGGGGTTTGGCAGAAGGAAGGACACAGGACACGAGTTTGGTTCAGAAGTGAGAGGCCTGGTGCCTTCAGGGCTCACAGTGCTGGCTCTGACCCCCAGCACCTGCCAGGGTGGGGGTGGGGGGCTGCTCGCAGAGCCTACAGTTTGGCAATTTCTCCAGCGTGCATCAGCAAACTCTCTCCTCAGACCCCCAGTCACACAGTGGGGTGAGGGTAGAGTGTGATTCTAGGCAGGTCTGCTGGCCTGGCATCATGTAATTAGGCCCTTTGGAGAGGCCGAGGGCCCTACACAGCCTGCCTTTCGGCAGGGGGCTAAGGCTGGTCTTTGGCTGAAATGTAACTAGACAAGGAACCTAAGTCCTGGCTGGTGAAGGGGGTGAAGGGCCATCTCAGGGGCGGGGAAAGGGCTAGCGCTCCTGCCCAGCCTCCCAGGCCACCAGAATCTACCTGCTTTGGGCTGCAAATCAAGGCACATTGAGGGGAGGGAGTAGCCCCAGGTAAAGGCACTCTAAGAACCGTCATGGCTTACAGTAGGCCACAGCCAAGGAGGTCTGGACCCCTCGGGGCTGAGAGCTCCAAGATGGGGCGGAGTGAGGGAAAGGAGCCCTCAGCACCCACTTCTGCCACCGGCTCCCGTGGGCGGTCTTATCCTCACGCCATTCAGAGTCTAGTGCAGGCGCCTGCAGGGACCGCCCCGAAGGCCACAGTCGCCGGGGTCCCAGCTGACCTAGTATCCTCTACCTTCAGTTCAGAGGCCCGTCTTCTTCCCTTTTATCCCATCAGACCTGCTGGGGGGACCAGAAGCACCAAGAAGCCCAGGAAAGGAGAAATCAGGGGGCTGGGGCCGCCCGGGAGACCCTACCACATTAAGGTAGAAAGATAAGGGCTCACCCCATCTGGGGCCCTGCAGGGCGAGGCTGGCCCCGTGGAGGGAGGGTGTCGGGCGTAAAGGAGAGAGGACACTAGTCAAGCTTCCACTTCATGTAAACAAGGAAGAGCGACCCCTGCCCAGACAGCGAGAGTCTTGTGGAGGCGCGTGGCTGCCTTGAGACGCGGCCGATCCTCACATCTGGGAGGCAGGGTCCCTGAGGCCAGGATGGAGACTGCTGGGCAGGAGGCAGTAGGGGTCCGATGTGCAAACTGGTGCAGGGTTTGACCTGTGTTCTCCACAAAACGGGGCAGCGGGGCATCCGGGTCCTGCCCACCACTGGCCCGAGGCTCAGGAAATCACGCAATTGCTGGACTTGGCAGGATTGGGACTTGATTTACCTGCAGAGACAAGGGACACAGACAGGAAAGGATGTGAGTGAAGGGCTCAGTGGACTTGCCTCCAGCTCCTCTCCTGTGTGCACCGCCCACACCTCAAGTTTGGGGTTGGGGTCACTGTCTCCCTCCCAAACTGCTGACCTGGAAGCAGGTCAGTAGGGCCCCAGGGAAGCAGAAGGAAAGACTCCCTGGCATGGCAGCCTCGGCAAGACCGCCCCTGGCTGGGCCATCGAGGGGTCTGCCCTCTTCTGATCTCAGGGAGACAGGGGGAAGGATGTAGACCCCGAACCAACAACCATAATCACTGACTGAAAGTCTCGTTAGGAGGCGGTTCACCTGAAGCTAATACCGTATGCAGCCTCATAGCCCACAAAGCATAACCACAGTCACTCTTGCAGGGGATCCTCACGGGCAGCCACGCTCTGAGAAGGGACCGTCAGCCCTGTCTTACAACGGAGGGCAGCGGGGCCACCCGCTCCCAGAGCCCGTCGGCTCCAGAACCCGATTTTCCAAATCCAGGTAGGGCTCCCTCCGCCATGCAGGCTGCCGAGGTTGGAAGAGGACAAGCTTGTGCCGCACAAGGTGGGGAGGCTGACCGAGAGCCAGGCCCTGTGGCAGGGACCACGTGCTTAGGGAGGCGGTTTGAATGGATGGAGAGAACACGTTCAGCTGAAAGGAGGGGGGAGGCAGCTGTGCTCCTCCAGGCTAGAGAAGCGCAGGCCCCCTCTTCCCAGGCCCCTCCTGCATAATCCCTCGCAGAGGCCCGTGGCTCCTTTGGCGGGACGCCTGCTCTGACGCTACAAGGCAGACACTGGCAAGCTCCTGGCCTGCCTTCGAGGTGCTGGCCACTGGATCCACGCCCTCCTGGGGGGCTGGCTGCCTGCCTCCCTGGTGGAAGCTGCCCAACGATTTCCTGCCAGTTCCTTTCCACACTGCAAGGGTCGGGTCCTCTCCCTGAAGCTCACACCGCCTTCCCATCTCACTTCAGCGGTGAATTTAATTAGGGCGGTGGCCGCCCTTCCCCTGGGCCAAGAGAGACCTGGACAGGCAGGCCGTGTGGGGTCCCTCCCTCCTCCCTGCTCCATCAACCCTCCTTGGGAGGTACTACGAGTCCAGCTGAGCTCCTTGGAGACTGTGCTGGCAGCATACAGAGCTTAGAGGCGGTGGGAGGGGCCCCGGTGACTGTGCCCCTTCCCTCCTGGAGGGTCCCAGGGTCAAGGAGCGCGGTCATCTTCCTCGGGGGTGCTGAGGCCGCCGCTGGTGCGGCTCTGAAGGGACCACATCAAGCCGCCCCACAGCCCCCTTGCTGCTGCCCTGGACACGTCCGTCCCCACTTCTCCTCCTCGGGGCTCCTTTCATTTGCTTGGCCTCCTGAGCAGATGCCAAGGTCCGGCCCGGGGGCAGCAGCATGGCGGAGGCAGGTAAGTGAAACAAGCCCCGATCGGGAGTGGGACGGGCACGCGCGCCAGCTGCCCCCGGAGAGGCAGGAATCCCCACTCACACGCTCAGGCCGTGAGGCTGGATGAGAGCCTGGGGAGACCCTTTGTACTCAGAATTCATTTTCATGCCTCTGACAGAGAAACCGTTTGAGGGAAAATTCTTTATGTTCCATCGTTCCCTCGGCGCACAGGGATGGGGAGCCCACCGCACGCCGGTGCTCGGCAAGACTCCGAGGCGAATCAGACCTGCTCAGATTAATAGGGAAGAATCATGAACAGCCCAAGGTTTGTGTGTGTGTGTTTTTAATAGAGAATCTGTGGCATGGATGCCCGGAGGAGGCCGATGAGAGAAAGTCAAACTTCAAAGGGAGGTCGCACTGAGAGAGACTGAAATTGGGGTGGGAAGTGGGAGGAGGCAGCGTGACGTCAGGGCAGGAGGGGGTGGGGGAGGGACACCGCCTGGGGGAGCGAGAGAGGAAGGTGGGGACATGGAAATGGGCAGCAGGACGAGGACAAGAGGCTTCACCTTCCTTCAGGTTTCAGGGCTCCACATCCCCCTTTTCTGGAAGATTCTTCCCCTGGATGTCCATCTGGCTCTCTCCCTCCCTCCATTCAAGTCTGTGCTCAAACGTCCCTGTGCCAGAGGCCTTCCCCTCGCCCGTTATAAGAGGGTCGGTGCCTCCCCGCCCTCTCTCTGCAGTATGGCACTCACTCTATAAGAGCGGGGACTTCGCTCCTTTTGTTCACAGCTGCACCAGGAACTTAGAACAACGCCTGGCACAGAGCGGACTTTGCAGAGACACACATTTGTTAATGCATTAAGTGAAGGATCAGGCAGCTCTGGCCAGGTGGCTCAGCTGGTTGGAGCATGGTCCCATACACCAACAGGTTGCAGGTTCGATTCCCAGTCAGGGCACATACTTAGGTTGTAGGTTTGATCCCTGGTCAGGGAGTGTGCAGGAGGCAACCAATCAATGTTTCTCTCTCACACTGATATTTCTCTCTCTTCCTTGCTCTACGTCACGTGAGGATAAAAAAACAACAACCCACCAAAACACACACAAAAACGAATGGCTCAATAGATGGGGACATATGTGCCCTCCTCACTCACCTCACCACCCTGCCGCTGAGGCCCAAGAGAAACCAGAATGGCGGGAGGACTGTGGCATCTGACAGTGAGAATAAGGATCCTGCCTCCTCTCTAGGGGGAGCAGATCCTTGAAGGAGGCTCCCTCCGCTCCCTTCATCTGTGCGGTGTGACCGGGGCCTCGGCGGTAACGATGCCCAGGCTTATAACACGACACTGCAGTTTCCAAACACCAGCTGGGGCCAGGACCCAGGGTCCTCAGGAACGACCCTGAATTGTGGACTCTGGGCAAAGGCGCTGAGCGCACTTGGCGCAGGAGCAAGGTCTCAGCCAAGAGAAAAACCAGAAGGAAAAGGTGCTCAGCTTCGCCAGTAGAGGGAGCTGTGAGCCTTCAAAACACCAGGTGGCCCCCTGCTGAGCGTCAGACCTAAAGGAAGGGGTTTCTGAAGGTTCTCCCAGGGCCCGCACTGGGGTCTGCATCAATTTCACGGGCTGCCAGCACTTAGTGTTTCTATTTCTCTCTCTTTCTCCCACCTTGTCATCAGCCCAGCTCTCCCATGAGACGAGGGCAGCAGAGACGGGAAGGACAGTCAGAATCAGAGCTCAAAGGGACCTTGGAGTCCCTCCCTGGCTCACCCACTCTCTTCTTGATCAGTAAATGGCCCCGGGAGGTGAAAGGGTATGTCCAGAGGGTGGGGAGCAGGGAAGTGGCAGCGGGAGCGGAGGTCGTTGGCTGGCTGTTGTGATGATGGCCTGAATGTTCACTGCAGGACAAAGAGCCTTGCCCGGGATGGGGCCCTAAGGTAGCAGCTGATAGTGCCAAGTGCACCGGGTTACTGGTGCCGACCCTGGGGTCTCCGTGCTGCCAGGAGCCTGACCCTCTGGCACAGAGCCCTAGAGACCCAGCTTCCTAGTGACTGAGAGGAGGCACTCAGGCAGCCCGGACTCTGAGGAGGAAAGCAGCAGGGAGAGAAGAAGTCTCATGAGGGACTTGAATTTCAGGCTCTCAGGTACCGGATGCCCACCCAGGTGGGCAGAGGCTGTGCTGGACGAGGCCACTCTATGTTCCTTCTAAAGAACGGAGGGGAATAGGGTGATCTTGCTGGGCACCCCTTTTTGTACTCTCGAGTTTGCTGTCCTCTCTCTCACCATCTCTTTGGGTGTCGCGCCCTCTCTGGGTGCCCGGCCCCTGGGAGAGGCGCTTCCCCAGGGCACAGTCCAGGGCTGCTTGGCTGGCTGCTGGGCACCTTGTGAGTGGTGTGACTGAGCAAAGACTGCCCAAGGCATTTAAGCGGGGAACCCGATGCTGAGACTCGGGAAAGGCAGTAAGGAGGGACAAGACAATGGGCCTTTCGTTTCTATGGAAACAGCACCTCAGGGTGAGGGGCTGAAGGAAGAGAAAGCTTCCACTTCACCTCCATCAGGACTTGGGAAATGGCCCCTTTTGTGGTTGGGCTCACCCCTCCCCCTCCCTTCCCTGCCAGGTGTTCACCATGGCAACCGTGCCTCCAAACAAGAGGTGCAAAGCAGCAGCAGCATCTGGTGTTGGGGGAACCGGGGAGCCCTGGGGAAATGGGACTAGGCTAGTCACCTTCCCCCAACGTGCCCCCCCCCCCCACCACGGCAGAACATGGGTCCTGGCCCCAGTCCCACTGTGCCTAGGGACCACTGAAGTCACCTCTCCAAGCTTCCAGGTTGTTGTGGGGGCCAAGTGAGAGAGAAAGCACCCAGGGAAGGACCTAGCACACGGAGGTGCTCAATAAATGCTTCCTGGCCAACAGTGGTGCAGCACTGGTGCTCCCGCTGGGCCCCAATTCACCGAGACTCCAGGCCTGTCCTCACGTTAAGAGCAGAGCATGTCAGGCTCTGCAGCAGGGCTGTGGGATGAGCGGAGGGGAAGAGCCTTGCACTCAGGCCACTCACTATCAGGACAAAGCTGAGGCTGTGGGCGATGCAGGGGTCCTGAGCATGCTCAGCCTGCCCAGGGCCAGACCTCAGGCCCTGACCTCGTCACTCCCTGGCAGGCCAGGAGCCAGTCACAGAGGGAGAAAGCCCCACATGGAAACCTTTTTGACGCCGAGATGCTGACACGAGACAAGGCACCAGCAGCAGCCCTGGCCGTCACCACCAGCCTCTGGAAAGGCCACACTGGAAACTGCTCCAGAGGAAGAGATAAAGGCCAGGTGCTCTAGGGCAAGCATGTCAAACCCACGGGCCTCATGCAACCCAAAACGAATGTTTGCGGCCCAGCCGGTACAATGATATGTAAGAAATGTTTTAATAAAAATTTCATAACTTAATGTTTACAATATCCTGTTATACATAAATATTAATAACGAACTACAACGTTCGCTAACGACTGATTACTATAATTGTGTTGCATTCATTTCCCTTACACCCCTTACGTGCAGGCACACCATTTCTCTCCACTAATACTAGCAGCGAATATTTTAGCGCAGCCGATTTGCCATGTCATTAGTCTTGTACTGACTTTTTGGTGTGCGCAACAGGAAATGTTTTGCTTCTGGAGAACAAGAAAAATAGGTTTACTTGCGTTACGCTTTAAAAAAAAAATATATATATATATTTCTTTATTGATTTCAGAGAAGAAGGGAGAAGGAGAGAGAGATAGAAACATCAATGATGAGAGAGAATCATTGATTGGCTGCCTCCTGCACGCCCTCCACTGGGGATCAAGCCTGCAACCCAGGCATGTTCCCTTGGCCAGAATCGAATCTAGGACCCTTTAATCCGCAGGCTGCCGCTCTATCCACTGAGCCAAGCCGGCCAAGGCGCGTTACGCTTATTGATGTGTACAGTTATTCAGTGTCTGGTAAGTTAATGTGCAGAAAAAAATGTTAATTTTTATTAAAACATTCTATTATTTTATGTTAATGATGACTCATTTATTTCAGCCCTTTGTATTCAGCATGTCTCTATCAAAATAAACCTACGTTTCTATGAGAATTGAAGCTTTTGTTCTTTTGCAGCCGTCATACACTTAAACCTTGTTTATTCGGCCCATGTTAGCCTTTGAGTTGGACTTGCTTGCTAGGGGATCCCAGTGAGACAGCCAGGAGGATATCACCATCAGGAACAATCGCTCCCGGAGGTAAGCAGCCGGCAAACACCGCTTATCAGATAAGCACAGGGGAGGAACCCAGTCCAACCACTTTCTAGCAGAATGAGGAAAGGGGGTCAGGGCGCGGGTGGGGCGCAGGTGAGGGTGGGGTGTGTTTGTCCAGGTTAGATCCTGATGACAAGGAACAAGCTTTGCTAGACGGAGCCCTAGACTCAGAGGCAGGGTCGAGCCTTAGCCCTGCCACTCCGCTGCGCTGTGCCTCTGTGGCTTCATCTACAGAGGAGAAACTTTCTCAGACTCCCCCACGCCCGGCACTGTTCTGAGCACCTTATAGCCTCAGAACAGCTGGGCAAGGCAAGCTCATCCTCCCTTTCAGAGAAGAGGAAACGGAAACTCAGACCTGCAGTGGCCGGTCCAGACCATGAGCCAGATCAGTGATGGCGAACCTTCTGAGCTCGGCGTGTCAGCATTTTGAAAAACCCTAACTTAACTCTGGTGCCGTGTCACATAGAGAAATTTTTTGATATTTGCAACCATAGTAAAACAAAGACTTATATTTTTGATATTTATTTTATATATTTAAATGCCATTTAACAAAGAAAAATCAAACAAAAAAATGAGTTCGCGTGTCACCTCTGAAACGCGTGTCATAGGTTCGCCATCACTGAGCTAGATGAAAGCAAGGGCAGAGTGGGAGAGGACTGTCTGACCCAGACCAGGGCTCTCTCCAGGCCAGCACGCTGCCTTTCTGCAGGTCCAAGACTCTGCTCCCCAATACGGGCCTGAGCCCGGGGAGCTCAGGGCCGGACGGGAGGGCTCACCTGAGGCGTTGGCACCGGAGCCCTCGTTGGTCCTCTTCCCCTTGAACTCCACTTCAGCGAAGTTCTCCGTGGAGAGGGAGCTGGCCGTGCCGTTGGACGTTGCAGGCCTCTTGGCCCGGCGGCTGAAGAACCTGGAGCTCAAGCGCTTGCCCTCCTTGGCCTGGGCGGCCTCGCCGTTGAGCGCTTCTCCCTTGCCATTTTGGGCCAGAGCCTCTCGGGGAGAGACCACCCTGCCAGGCTTCCGACTCAGCTCTCCCGAGGGCACGGGCTCCACGGGGGGCAGCACCTGCTCCAGCGTGACCAGGTCATTCAGGAAGTTCTCCAGGCGCTGGGCTGACTCGCTGCCTCCACTGCCCTCTTCCTGCCCCTCTGGGTTGCCGCCAGCCTCCCGCTGCTGCCGGGCAGCCCAGCGCATCATCTCCCCCGGCGGGTGGCGGCTCCCGGACACCAGGGCGTACTTGGGGTTGATGAGCTTGCGAGCCACCGTGGAGGAGTAAGGGCCGAATATGCCTGCGCCTCCTGCCAGGCTCAGCTGCTGGTACAAGTTCACCTCCTCGGAGATGGCGTACAGCTCCCGGAACTCCACGTCGAAGGGCTCCACGTTCTGCCCCGTCAGGAGGAGGAGGAGGTTCCTGTCCACGTAAGAGGAACTCCAGGTGAACCTGGGCATGTAGGGACGGAAAAGCAAGACACATGTGCCCAGGCCAGTGACCTCGCCCCCTGCCAAGCAGGCCCATCTCCACAGCCAGTTGCGCCCGCCCCAGCCTGATCGACCACTGAGGCTGATGCCTTGCTGCCCCGTGGAAGGCGCCGCCCAGCCTTCTTGCTGGAACCCTGTCCCTCCCCTGACCCAAGTCTCCCTTTTTTCCCAGGTCTTGGCCTCCAATGCAGAAAGCAGGCAGTGCGTGCCAGGCAAGGAGACGAGAAGCCGGGCCTGGATGCAGTCCTGGTTTCTACCCTGTGCGCCTTTGTACAACGGGGCTTGCAGGGTGCACCGTCACAGAGCTGTTGCGAGGCTCAAGTGAGATAACGTGGACACACTAGCGCAGTGGCTGCCACAACGCACACATTTAATAAGTGGTCACTGGAGCTGCTGCTGTTCTTAATATCCTTCCATTCTTTGTTGGTTCTCCTGTGAATCTCCTAAGCACCGAGTGTCTGCGAACCCCCTACTCTAACTGTGCAAGAGGACGTAGGTCATTTATTACTGGTTTCGGTGCCCAGGTTTCTTTTTGGCACCTAGATTTTCATTCACGTGGAGGGCAGACCCTTGCACAGATCGAGGCTCTCATGTTCCTGGTGATTTACTTCAGCCTCAGAATTCGGGGGACATTCCTTCCAGGCCACACCCTCACATTTCTTTCCCAGATCGGATCCATTCTGCTTCCTGCTTGTCCCGCCTAAAAAACCAGCCTCACAATGCAGCCATTGGCTGTGGACCATGAAAAGCAGGCGGCACTTAATGTCCAGGAAGAGCTGGCCCTCTTTCTGGAATAACCCGGTAGCCACAAAGTTTGAGGGAAAGGACGAGCCAGGAGGCTATTTTTTGCCATCGGATCAGACAATACCTCTTAAACCCAGGACCACGGAGGCCCCAGCCCCGCCCATTCCTGAGTATGAACATTTATTAGGAGGAATAAAGGCCTCCCAGGCCCTTCTCTGACCTGTAAGATCCCGTGGCTACTTTGTCACCATCTACCATTAAGAACTTTGATGACAGGGTCCCTTTGATCTTCCCCATGGGCATGTAGAAGCCAACGCCCGTCACCGAGCGGACACGGATGTTCTGTGGAGAAGAAAAGAAAGACAGTGTCACTCAGGTTGGGGCCTGCAAGCCTCTGAGCTGGGGCAGAGGAGGAGCTCTCTCATCCACGGGACCTGCCTGCTGGCTCCTGTCTGCACTCAGCTCTGCTCCCGATGGCCTTCCAGGGGAACCCCAACTAGACAGCAGGAAGTAGTCAGCAAATCTTGCTTTGGGTGTGGATAAGCTCAGGGTGGTTCCTGCCGGTGCCCAGAGCTCCCCAGAAGAGAACCACGGCCCTAGCTTTGACCTTGGACTATGGGCTGAGCACCCCAGATCTGGGCCAGAGCTGCCTCCTTCGCCTCAGCAGTCTTGTGATATAATTTAAGCTTGGCGTGTACTTTTAGGGTTATCGGTTCACGAGATCAAGTTTTAGGCCAGTGATGGCGAACCTAAGACATACATGTCAGAGGTGACATGCGAACTCATTTTTTTGGTTGATTTTTCTTTGTGAAATGGCATTTAAATATATAAAATAAATATCAAAAATATAAATCTTTGTTTTACTATGGTTGCAAATATCAAAAAATTTCTATATGTGACACGGCACCAGAGTTAAGTTAGGGTTTTTCAAAATGCTGACACGCCGAGCTCAAAAGGTTCACCATCACTGTTTTAGGCAGAAGGGGTTGAGATCTTGATGTTCCTCTGAGCCCCTGAACTGGAGAAGAGGCGGAGAAAGGGGCAGAGGCCATCTCTGTCTCAATTTCTGGTTCTCACATGGCCGGCCCACAGTGGTGCAACTCACCCGAATACGGTAGTCCGTGAGCTCCAGGCCCTGACACATCTCCAGGAAATACTTCACGCCCGACTCATCCAGGATGATGTACACGGGGACACGGCGCTTAGAGGCAGCGTCCACAATGTCTTGGAAGATGTCGACATCGGTGAAGAGGTCCATGACCACAGCAATGACCTGGATCGGGAAGGGCACTGTGAGGCACATGGCGACTACACGCCTGCAGAGACACACCTGGGCCCAGAGCGGACCAGCTGGCCCTGGAGTTCCTGGTGGGCAACAGTCAAAAACTCCATCGGTACCTCTCCTGGGTGCTCCACTTCCTCGCCCACGTCTGAGCACACCTGGGCCCTCTGCTCTGGAAAACCCCCGAGGGTGCAGGCCATCCCTGACAAACCTCTCCCCCCTAAGGATTTCCCAGTCGCTCTGCAGAAGCCGTACGGGCGAGAACTGGGAGGCTGAGGATAGCCGTTCGTGGTCCCCGTGGAGACAAGCAAGCTCAGAAGATGTGATCATCGAGAGGCAAGGAATGGACTCATTTCCACCAGCCGCACATCTGCGCCAACACCGCTTTCTCCGCAGGTGCTCCGATCTCCCTGCAGCTTCCCTACGGGCCAAGCTAAGGGGCAAGCCCTGCACTTCCCTATGGGCCGGTCTGGGCAGAGCTCCAGTGAGCTTGGTGCCCCCTGGCCTCCAGTGAGCTTGGCGCCCCCTGGCCTCCAGGTGTGCAGACCATCCCACTCCATCCTCAAAGCAAAGTCACTGCCAAGGACCCTTGATTTCCAAGTCAGTCCTGATGAGCCGTGCTGGCAGGCCAGGCCTTCTGCAGCCTGAGGCATGCTTTTCTGACCTCAGCTTCCTCTATTTTCCTCCCCCCCGACCCCACACCGCCGCCCCCAGCTCCAGTGCAAGGGTTTTCTTGTTGGCTCCAAACACCGAGCACATGATGCAGAAGGAAGAGCATTCTTTGGGGGCAGAGGGATCTGGCTATGTGACCTTTCCTGTTATGTGACCTTAGGCATGTCACTTAATCTTGATGAGCCTCCTTATCTGCGAAGCAGAGGTACCCTGTACATACTTTCGCCATTAGGATGACAGATAAGGTCTGCGAAGCATCCAACACACTGCCTGGAATGGAGTGAGTCCTCCATAAAGGGTAGTGGTTGTGTGGATGAGGGCACCTGCGGGTCAAGACCAGACCTGGGTACCAACTCACTGCTGACTCGTCAGAGCCCTGGTTTCCTTGGCAGCAAAACGGAGCTAAGAGTAACACCTACTCAAAGGGCTGTCGGGACGGCTGAGAGACTGCGAAAGCACTTAACACAGGGCCCCGCACATGGGACGCCCAGTAAGTGGTACCCCCCACACCATCACCATCGTTTTTGTCATCACCTTCACACATGTGCATTGCCACGACTCCTGTCTCGAAAGAACTCCACCCCCAACACCATTTACACACTATTATTTAAGGCTCTTCTTAGCTCCTGCATTTAACACCCAATCACGTATACAAGTAACATTTACTGAGCTGCCTGGGGAAGAGGGAGGATCTAAAGACAAATAAGCTCTAATCCCTAACTTCAAGGGATTAATCCGGGAGGAATGATAAGACATTTGCACAAAAGAACTGAGACATCAGGTAAGATGGAATAAAAGTCTGAAGAGATGCAGAGATGAGATGTGATGTGAATTCAGAGTGGGGGCCAGGGGCTGAAGGAAGGGAAGAGACTGATTACTCTCAGCCAGGGGAGAACAAGAAAGACTTCAGTGAGGAAGCCGAAACCTGAAGAACGGGCAGCCGGGGGCACCATGAGAAACGCGCAGAGAGGGACACAGAGCAGGGCAGGGGGCAGGGCGGCCAGGCCTGGGCATGCAGGTTGTGTGTGCACTGCATGGGCACTGGGCTGGGGGTGCGTGGGAACTGTGCCTGCCCGAGGAAGGGACAGCTCTTCTAATCTGCACACAGGTGCCACCTGGGCCAGCAGGTGCCTAGCAGGTGGGCATGTCAGGCAAACAGCACAGCAGAAAGGCCCTGGAGACAGGGATTAACATGCCCTGAGCACTTAGAAAGGGCCTCACACTGTTCCAGGTGCTTTAGGTAACGTTTCTAATATGATCCTCACAATGAGGAGGATTGGAATCCCCCTTCTACAGATGAGGACGTGAATGCAAAGGGGTAAAGAAATGTGCCCCAGGCCACACAGCATGTAGCAGAGCAGGGATTTGAACTCGGGTCTTCATTTGCACTCAACCATTTCACTGCATCACACTGGTTCACTAAGATGGGGCAGCTGTAAGTTATTTTAGAAACATCACATAAAAAACTGACTTTCTAAAGAGACTACACAAGATAGACAAACTTCTAGCAAGACTGACAAAAACAGAGGATATGCAAATAAAAGAGAAAACAGAGAAATAACTACAGACATGTTTACTTTTTAAGAAATTCTTAATTTTAAAGAAATGATAAAAAAGAATATTAGGACCATTTATACATCAATGAATTTAAAAATAAAAATGACATGAATAAGTCATGAAAAGCGAATTAAACATAACACGGCATAATCAAGTAAGGTTTATCCTAGGAATGTAAGAATTATTGAATATCAGAAAATGTATGATTTTAATTTATAACATTTATGGTGTCAAGGAGGGGCAATCATACATTACCTTAATAGGTTTTTAAAAAATATTTGATAACACTAGATTCCTATTTGTGACTAAAATTCTCAAAAATACTAGAAGTAGAAGGGACCTTAACTTGATAAAGGCTAACTACTAAAAACCCACCTGAAGCATACTTAACAGAAATTTTAGATGCAATCCCTTTAAGTCTCAAGCAAATAAAAAATACTCACTATCACCACTGCTATTTAACAAAGCATTAGAGGTCCTAACCAATGCACTATGACAAGAAAAAAAAAAAGAGCTAGAAGGAATAGAAGAAACAAAAACCACCAGTATTTACAGATATATTTTTTTTATAGAAAAACCTCCTACGATGCAGAGAAAAACTATTAAAATTAATAGAATTTGGCAAGATTGCCATATACAAGAAAAACTTACAAAAACCAATAACATTCCTCTACTACAAAAATAATCAACTAAAAAGAAAATAAGATCCCCCCCAAAATTGCAACTTAAGCAGATAGTATTTAGGAATTAATACCTTTATGCAGAAATTTATAAAACTCTATTAAAAACATCTTTTTAAATAAGTGAATAAAGGAACAGATAAATCATATTCATGGATAATCTGATTTGATATTTAAAAATCCAATTCTCCCATATTAACCAGTTAACTGCCATGCATCCAAAACGGAAACCATCCTCATTTCTTTCATATGTGCTGGAATATTTATGAATTTAAGTTACCATAATTTTCTTTACAAACCCAGAGATGTCACTAACAAGTCTGATTTTAAAATTGGGTGACCAGAGTTGATATGCAAGGTTTGCAGCTATAGATGCGCGTGGTGTGTGGGGAAGGTCAGCCGCTTGCGTCTATAGACACTTATGGTGTACAAAGCGTTAATAAAGTCCAATAAATCCAATAAAAGTTCAGTATATTTTTTTGAGGAACCCAAATACTTCTAAGATGTGAGAAATAATAAAGATCCATAATAGCTAAGTCAGTTTTGAAAAAGAAAAGCTAAAAGGAAACACTTGTCCTACCAGATAGTAAGATACACTACGGCGCTATAGTAATAAGAACTGTGGTACTGAAGTAGGAAGGAACTAACAAATAGACTGATGGAATATAATGGAGAGACCAGAAACATATGTGTACCTATAAACCTGCATAAAAATTTAAGTCTGATAGAGGTAGAGTCACAACTCAGTGGAGAAAGGATGCTGTTTAGTAGATGCTATTTGGGAAATTGGCTTACTGTATAGAGAAAAATAAGTGGATCCCTACCTCACACTATATATAAAGGTGAATTTCAGGTAGGCTAAATACCTGGATGTGAAAGATAAAACTAATAAAGGAATTGATGATATGTAGTAAGATATCTTCATGACATAGGTAATAAAGGATTGCTTAAGATTCCAAAAGTACAAATCATAAGGCAAATAAAAATTTTAAAAGACATGCTCCACAAATTAGGGATTTTTTTGTTCAAAGAAAGATGCCATAGACAAAGGTAACTGAAGGGTGACAGGGAGAAGATATCTGCAATATCTATGATCAAAAGGAATGAATAATATACAAGGGATCCCTGCAAATTTTTTAATTAATTATTTTTTTTTATTTTAGAGATAGAGGAAGGGAAAGGGAGAGGGAGAGGAAGAGAAAGAGAGAGAGTGAGAGAGAGAGAGAGATCAATTTGTTGTACATTTATTTATGCATCCATTGGTTGATTCTTGTATATGCCTTGACCCAGGATTGAACTCGCAACCTTGGCATATATGAAAGACGCTCTAACCAAGTGAGCTACCCATCTAGGGCCAGGACCTCTGCAAATTGGTAAGAAAAAAAACCCAGGAAACTAATTAGGGAAATGGGCAAAGGATATGAATAGGCAATTCCTAGAGGAGATATCTGAATGGCTAATAAGTACATAAAGCAATCAGAAGAATTCAAATTAAAGCAAAGAAATGAAAAGGGACCCCTCATTCACTGCTGGTGGGAGGGAACACTGGGGTAGCTATTCCCAGGGACAGGGAACAGAGCTTAGTGGACTTCAGGATGTGTCTAACTGCAGCCGGCACCCGGGGAACCTCCTGGGTCTTTGCACAGGCCTATAAGGGGACAGGGTCAAGGATACTCACTGCAGCTTTCTTTAGGATAGCAAAGAGCTGGCAACACCTTAGATGTGAATTTCTAGAAGAACAGATATGGACAATGTCAGGAATGGACACAGCAGCGCAGCAGACAGAGCAATGAACTAGTTCTGCACACAGAACGTGAATAGTTACCTTTAAAACAGAGTTTGATTTAAAATGCTGGAGGATGAGATCTATAGCCTAACACCAGCGTAAATAAAATAACACAGCGTGTTTTTCAAGGATACAGACATGACCAAGGACATATGCTTAAGGGTGGCTGCCTAGGGAAGGAGAAAGGAACGGGAGGGAAGGAGAAAGTAAAAGAAGAGGGAGGGGTCCTCCATGGACGGATGATGGCCGTGGACCATGAACTGCGGCTCACGATCAGCGCTGTATTTGAGGTCCGG